AGGTAAATTGTCCGTTAGGCAAACTGTCCGTTAGATAATGTGTCTTTAGGCAAAATGTCTTTAGGCAGATTGATCGGGTACCATATTTATTTCTTAATTACTGTTATTGTTATCTGTATTACTGCATATTATTCTTATTTATTATTATTATTATTGTTTATTTATTATTATTATTGTTTATTTATTAATTGTTACTGTGTATTTTGAAGCTATTTCAATGAGGTCGCACTCGAAATGATGCAAAATGAGGACGAAATGGAGCGCAAAAATTGCCATTAACGACGTTGATTATTATTATTATTTCTATTGTTATTATCACGTCGCGTCGCGTTGCACTGCATTGCGTTGCGTAACGTTTCGCCACTACTAACGTCTCGAAATGCCACAAGCCAAAATAATCTCGTCTAATCGTAAGCGCAATTCTTTTAAAATATATCTGACTATGAGCTTTGGCTTTGGCTTAGGCATAGGCTTGGACTTTGGCTTTGGCTTAGGCATAGGCTTGGGCTTNCTTAGGCATAGGCTTGGGCTTGAGCAGCAGCTTCAACATGAGGTCATTTATCGCTTTTTTTGTTGACGCCTTCGATTATCAGTGATAATTAACTAATTAACTGAGCCTTTGGTTTTCGTTGATTATTATTATTATTCTGCTTCTGGTGCTGGATTTGGCTTAGGCTTTTGGATTTAGCTTAGGCTTTCGAATTCGGCCAAGTGTTTCGATTTGGCTTATATGTCTGGTTTCTGGTTTCGATTCGGGCCTTTGGATTCGGCTTAGGCTATTCGGCTGCTGATAAAGCGCTCCTTTTCGCTCATTTTTTAAAAATTTTTTATTTCGGCTACCGCGAAGTGGAACTGATACTTGGTTCACTTAGACCTGAAATTGATTTGGGTATCATGAGCGATCAGAGTCCATTGCCCTTCCCCATTCATACATGGTACCATAATTTCAGGTGAATAAGGATGTGACGAAGGATGGGGGGGGGGGGCGTCTTTTGATGTTAGCATCTTAAATTCCAGGTATCCAGCTTACACACTAGCAGCAGATTCCTTCTGTGACGCTTTCCGGTCAGCTTGTTGCTGATGTGAGGTTGATCTGGGAACTGGACTGGGTAGGGGCATTTCCCGGGCAAAGTGTAGGGATCCGCTGAATTCCCACCGGGTAGGCAAGAAGCTTTGGGTGAGCGGCTGAATTCCTGTGCAGTCTTAATACGCAATGCTTTGCGCTTAGCTTGTTGTTGCAGTTGCAGTTGCAACCGCAGTTGTAAAAATTTTACGTTGCATTATTTGAAGATTTATTTTATGTGATGAATCTATCGCATTCGATCTGAATCTGGCAATCCGCTTAAGACTCACGCGGGTATGGCCATGCACTTAGAGCTGGCGGGTTACATTGGCTTGTCGTGAGCTTGCCTGTGAATCTGGAGTAGAACCCAGTTCGAGGGCATCCTTAGGTTGAAATGCTAGGCTAGTGGCAATGCTTTTACATCATTTTAGTGGCATCTTCTGAAGTTTTCCAGTCGATACTGAGATTTTAAAAAATTTTTTTTGAATGTCAAAAAAATCGTGGTGGTGCTCATCTCTAGCCAAAAATTTCAGAGGGATTGAAGGTTTGAAATCAGGATTTTGGATTGGATTAGATTTAATTTAATTTTTTAATTTTGAATTGTGAAAATGTCAAAGAAAAGAAGTAAAAGCATACCAGGCAACCTAATGGATTTCGGCTTTCGACTGGATGCCTCTAGTGATGTGCCATACCCGTGCGGGAGTTAAAGACTGCCCAAATTGGATATATCGTTGTGATTTGCAGAAAGCATGATTAATAAATACATTTATTTAGTTGATGAATACATATAGATGGTGTTGATAATAATAATAATATAAATATAATAATAAATAATAAATTTTATTGCATTTTTAGAGATGAGGTGATGATGAGTGTGGTGCGCGCCGGTTCTATGCGTTCCGAACGCTTCTATTCGATGGGCTCCCGAGTGGGCGGCGGCGGCGGCGGCGGCCGCCAACTTCGAACCACGCCCCCAGCTGCACTTATTGCTCCGCCTCCTGCCCAGTTGAGCAGGCGCACGCCGCGCTCTGCACTCAAGGCCACGCCCAGTGGAGCGCAGCAAGCACCGCCC